TGGAGAAATTTAATAAATAAATAAATAAATAAATAAATAAGAATAAACATGGTTGGTTTGGACTTCACTTAACATAGTATCTACCAAGCCTTTATAATGTTCCGCAATCATTTATAGCTGTAACATGTATCTAGTAAGCCAACTATGGTTTATTTTTATTTGGAAAATTTATATGGCTGGCCATCTTAAACAAGTAACTCTGGGTGGCTAATAATAAATAAAGGCTATCTTAATTTTTTAAACGGTTTCCTCTTTTATTTAATAACAATGAAGCAAAGTATATCTTAGTATGATTTATAAAATTTGGGGTTGTTTACATACCACTTTAAACCGCAGTTATAAATTGTGAACCCAATTAACTGGGTCCATGCAACTGAGTTATCAACTAATCACCAGCTGGATTGGCACAACACATTAAACTGTGATTTGTTCATTTGTGACTTAGTGTGTTGTATGAACTAACCAGTTTGGTTGATAAAACATGGTATATGGGTCAGTGCATTGGGAAAACCCAGCCAACAGTGGATTACTGAATAGCCCATGGTTTGGGAAAAGATGGTGTAGCAACCTGTGGAAACACACTCCCACGTGCCCTTATATCCTGAATCAGGTAACGTGGCAACGCATTCTAGGACATGGGGAGTTGAATGTCTGGAGCATTCAAAAAACGGCACCATCTTCCAGTGGTTAGGCTTAGGGCTACTAGATCTGGCCGAATGCCAGGTAGCGGTCATTCAGATTTTTGCAGCCCAGATTCGGTGGCGCTGTTGCACCCCTGCTGTCCCAATGGATGAGAGCACACTAGTCCCTGGAGGTGTATCCAGAAGGCTGATGTTCTCTGCAGCCCCTAACACTGATTGTGGCTAAATCCATACCGCACTAAAAGGGCATTCGAGAGAGGTGGCCGAGCCCAGGCGCTTAGCAATCTCTCCTGCCTGATGGAGCCATCGGCGTGTCCTTCTGTGGGAAACGAATAGGAAGGGCAGACGGTGGGGCGGCTAAGCAGGGCGGGCTCCCGAAACGAGCTGCAGCCACCTGTAACTACACACGCAGCCCTTCCTTCTCTAATTACCCCACTGATCCCGTGGCGGGCAGGCGGGTGGGTTAGAGGGGTACGAGCGCATTGGGCGGCGGCCGCCACGCTTCCAGATGTGACCCTCCCCGGCAGTTTGCAGGGGATTGCCCCGATGACCTTGGCAATGGGGCGAACCGAACCGAAGAAGTCAACCAGCGTGGCTAATTTAACTCTGCGTCGAAAGAGGCAACATCTGCGCCCCCCCCCTCCTTTTGGCCAGCACCGGAAGGGCGTGTTAGGTTCAGACATGCCCTATCTTGAATAGGACCCCGCCCCGTGTAATGTCTGAAGAGTGGCTGGGAAAAGCGAAAAGAGCTTGGAAGGTTTTGTGTGCGGGAGATCCAGTCCGGGATTTCCTTGTGTCTTGGCAAAAAAAAAGCAGCCTCCACTTCTTGGCGTGTGCGTTTTCAATGTGATAACTCTCAAGATCTCGTCTCTCCCGCCTCCCCCTCTTTTTATTTTAAATCCTTTTTTCTTTTTCCTTCTCCTCCCATTCTCTTCCTCTGACTCGGGACTATCGGATACAGCAAGCGATCGTGACACGGGGAGAGCTGCTTTTTTTTCGGGGATCAGCCTCAGCGAAGGGGTTGGCTGCTCGTGCTGACATAGCGCTGCTTTTTTATGATTTCCACGCGTTTTCCCCCACCCACCTCCGCGATCTCCGCATTTCTGCTTGCCACTAGCCGCCGCTTTCTCCAGTGCCAGAGGCAGCTGCACCGAGCGCGTGCAAAGCAAAGATGCGCTAAAAAGTAGAAACCACAAGAGGGGAGGGGGACAGAGACACCCCCCCACAAACGAGCGGGAGGAGGGAATTGCTGCAGCAGAGGCGGGTGATTGGGGGAAGCTGAAAGAAGGTGTCCGACTGGCCTCCCGCTCAGCTTGGGCGGATTTCAGCAAGCCGGGAGGCCGAGGAAGAGGGCTGGTCGTCGGGCGAAGGATGCACCGTAGGAGCGCTGCAAATGGCAAGACCGGAGGGGAAGTGTGAAAGATCCTGGCAACTCGCCAGGACTATGAGGTCTGCACTGAGGGGCTATCGAGGTTGCCGCAGCACCACAAAAGGGGACCTGCTTGCAAGGAAGCTGTGATTTTTTTCTTCTTCCTCCCCCACCTCCTCCCTTGCCCCTTCTTCTCCTTCCCTGCGCCGGCTTCTCTGCACGAGAACAACCATCCTTTGCCTTCAGCTGTTTTGCCTCTTCGGAGCCGCCGCATCCCACTCCAGGCTCCGGCTGTGCCTGAGATTTCCTCCTCGCAGGAGGCTAACCGCCCCACCCCCTTTGCCCAGCTCCTGGCGCCTGCCTCGACTCTTCTGCCGGCAAGGGGCTGCTTGGAAGATGCTCCCCTTCAGGCCGTCCGTCAGCAGCTGATCTGCAGAGCATTGGATAAGGTCTGGAAGAGATGCCCGGGCTTCTGCAGCATTCCTCCGGAGCTGCCCTTTGTGCATGGACAGAGCAAGGGAGGCGTTAGGGTTCCAGCTGGCAGCTGGCATCCGCTGCCATCCGGAGGGGGTGGCAGCAACCCAACCAGCAGCAGGAAGGGGAGAAGCGTCTGGCAGATGCTGGCTAACGGGGTGGGCACTGCCGTCCGTTCCCCCAGGCACTCATGAGCAGAGGAGCCACCCTGCAGCGGAGGACGACCTACCTGATCTCCCTGACCCTTGTGAAGCTCGAATCGGTCCAGCAGCTCCAGCAAGGGGAGCAGCAGCAACCGCCACCACCACCACCAGAAGATGAGAAGGCGAGGGCTGGTGATGGAGCTCCCCAGCCCGAGGGCAGTGGGGGTAGCCTCCCCTCCAGCCCTTTGGCCTTTCCATCAGTTGCTGAATCCTCCGGGTTAAAGAGCCACAGGGAAGCTGAGGAGGCAGCCAAGATCAAGAGGCAAGAGCGCATCTTCCACCGGCAGGATGCGCTCTGGATTAGCACCAGCAGCGCCAGCACTCCTGACTACCTACTGCAGTTGTCGCCAGGCTGTCCTGAGACGCCTGGCCCATCCCCATCCCCGGATGGCACTGGGCGAGCTGGATCTCTCTGGACCCCACCCAGCGGCAGTGGCCAAGGCAGCCCTTGGGATCCAAATCTTGGATTCGCAGCCGCAGCCGCCCCAAAGGCCAGAGCTACCATCAGCTTGGATGCCCCAGCCGTTATGCCGAAGTCTGAGGTGCTGGGGACTTCAGTGGCTCCAGTTGTGCCCCCCAAGCCTGACCCACTGGTGCTGCCTGTTGCGCCAGCTGTGCCCCCCAAACCTGAGATGGCGCTGACTTCCAAATCCCAGCCAGTGGCCCCCTGTGTGGCTCCGCCTCTGGCTTCTAAACCTGAACCCGTTGTGCCCTTCAAGCTCGAGCCAACTATGCCCTGTGTAGCCCCAGTTCTACCACCCAAACCTGAACCAGCAATTCCCTCTATCGCCCCCACCATCCCCCCCAAGCCAGAGCCACCTGTGGGCATCATCTTTTCATCCGCTCCTCCCAAACCTGTGATTGTCGGCCCCTCTCTCTCATCAGCTGTCCTTCCTAAGCCTGAAGGTACTTTTATCCCATCAGCTCCAGCTGTAGCTCCAAAGCCCAAAGCCATTTTGGTTCCAGTCATTCCCAGTGTGCCGCCAAAGCCAGAAGTGACTATAATCCCCTCCAAGGCTGGGCTGAAGGAAACCTTAGAAGTCCCTGGAGATGAGCCGCCACTCCCACCCCCAACCACTGCCAGCTGCTCCTCCAGTGCTGCTGCACCTGGACGCCGGATGTTGGTCAGCCATGCCAGTTGGGGTGGCCCTGAGCCTGGGACCATGGAGACGACAGTGGGCCGTGTGGGTGGTTCTTCCTTCTCTCACTCGGGAGCCTCCTCTCCTCACCCTGCTGCTGGAAATCGCCGCCTTCGCTTGGCCACAAATAAGCCTTTCAAAACAGTGACCACCACGGGGGCTAAGGTGGGTACAGAGTCAAAGGCCAGCAAGGGGAGCCACAAAGGGGGCACCCCAAATCGCCTGTCATGGCCAGAGAGTGAAGTCAAGGGCCGCATGAAGGTGGCAGTCAAAGGGAGTGGGGAGACTGTCCCCAGAGGAGGGTCCAGGGCAAAACTGTCCCCTCACAAAAACAAAAGCAAGACTCTGGACAACAGTGACCTCAACCATGGCCCAGCCAGCTTGGCCTCATCTGGTTCTTGCTCCTCAGAGGCTGCAGTGGGGCTGAAGAGAGGCCGGGAGGGTGGACGGGCCTCTACCCGTGACCGAAAAATGCTCAAGTTCATCAGTGGCATCTTCACCAAGAGCCCAGCTTCCACTCCCACTCACCCCGGGCCTGGCTGGAGTCTGAGCCATAAAGAGCTGCTTAGTGCTGAGCTGGCCAAGGGAGAATTACCCAGTAAGTATGGGATCCTGCTTTCTAGATGAAAGCTTGGGAGAGGTGGGACCTCCTATCCACTGAGCTTGAGTGCTGTAGGCTAAATAATGGAGAGGGCTTGAGGACTAGAATGTTTTAGCATTGTGTTGAGGGAAGTTAGACCCCCAAATCTTGGTTTGGAATATTGGAAGAGAAAGAGTAGGGCAGGTTTCCTCAGTCTGTGGCACCTTCTAAGATGTTAGGACTACCATTCCCAGAATTCCCAGCTATTGGCCTGGTTGACTGGGAACTCTGGGTGTTGTAATCCAACCTAGGCAACAGGTTGGTGTGCTATTTCTTCAAAAAGTTGCACTAGTAGAGACTTACATAGTTTTTATTTTATTTTTTCCCCTATTTTTAATAGTGATTCCTTTGTACAGCCTCTGGAGGACCTCTTGTCTTACCTGATCTTCTATAGATTTCCCACAGAAGAATCCTACTGTTTCTCTGAGAAGGAAATTCTGGGCAGCCTAGCCTTGTTGCCAAGGTGATAGTAGATCATGGCCACCAATGAATATGAGATTGGGAAAGTGTTGAGGTTAGAAAGGATTTCTTGCTCCCAGATGAATGCTACTGCAACCGAATCTGTTTTGGACATGTGTGAGGCTTTCAGATGACCTCCATGTCCCCTGTGAGAAACTGGGGAGAAAATATTATTATCACCTTTGATGGGGATCTGTAGATGATAAGGATTCTTTCCATCTCAAGATTTTCTGTGTGGAGCCAATCTGTATGATACAGGCCACACGTGGCAGGGGTCACCTTAGGCTCCTCCCCGGTCTTGGCTTGGAATGGCTGTGCTGGGTACAAGAACGGAGCAAATCCCAGGGCTCTGTTTAGGCAAACCACCTTCTACTTTCCTAAGCCAGAGTTAGCTTCCCAAATAGTACAGCAGTCTTCTCTGAGCCTTCTTCAAAATCTTCCCCTTGTCAGATGATACAGTGATGATGATCTTGAGCCATCTAGGACCTGGCTCTGTTCCTTGGAGTTCTACCAAGGATGGATCTCATTAGCAAGGCTATTTCTGGATTCTTTACAATACCAAACATTCAAATTTTGCCAAGGCAGAAGTGGCAAGCACAATATGGAGTCTATCTCTGCAGCAAATGCTTCTCTTGCTTGTTGTGTTGAACCAGATGATGATGATGATGATGATGATGATGATGATGATGATGATGATGATTACAGGTTGCTTCATGAGAATTGTGTGATATGAGAATATGTGATGGGGTGTGAGGTGTGTATGTAAAACATAAATCTAGAGAGATGATGATTAAGAGGAGATGCCAAAAAGTGTGTTTCACTGTGAATGTAAACCAAGTGCTAGGCTTTACTGTTTTACACCAGGGAGAAATTATTGGCATTCAACTTAATTAACAGGCAAATAAAAGAACATTTATATACCATGTTATATAAATATTAATGGTGATGTACTGCTGTCTGGTATTAGAGACTTCTAACAGAAACATATGTGTCTTCTGTATGATTACATAGGCATTAAAATCCATGTGGAACTTGATACGTAATTTGACAGCCTCTCCGTGGTGTTTTGCTTTCTTGTTAGGCAGGAAACATATCGTTCTCATAGTTGTGAAGCTCAGTATATATTGTCCAGTTGTCTCCATTGTACAAGAGGCCATTCCTTTGCGAGCCTCTTTGTGACTTTGTGTCACAGCCTCCAACTGCATTCTTTTCCTGTTGCTCTTCCATTCATTTGGAAGGGAGCATGGCTAGGCAGGAGGCAGCATGCTTTCTATGCAGAAGGTCCCCATTCTGCCTCCAGCATTTCCAGGTAGAGGAATTGAAGAGCTGGAGATGAAGAAGACTTCTCTCTAAGTTCCTGGAGAGTTTCTGCCAGTCAGAGTAGATTATACCGGACTGAGGTACTCATGGTGGACAGCATCTTCCTCTCTGTCTGTCTGTCTCTCTCTCTCTCTCATTCTTTAAAGCTGAAACACAGTTCAAGATCGACTGTGAAAAATGAATATTTGCAGGTAATATAGAAAGATATCTGCATCCATTAATGTGTCATTTTCCCTTATTAAAGAGCAGGAGTAGGACTTCAATTCCCTTGGACTGGATTTTGGACTTCAGTTCATATTAGCTCTGGCAAGCATGGGCAGTGGCAATGGGATTTAGAAATGGTAGTGCAAACCATCTGGAAGAAACGGGTTAGCTTTCGATTTCAAAATATAATTCTGAGAATAACCACATTAACATCTAACCCTTCCATCCACTGATGACTGAAGGACTGTGCTAAATCAAACCAGGCTTTTTATGTCTGGAATATTCAGTTAGGCCAGCCTTCCCCACCTAGTTCCTCCAGATGTGTTTTCCCATAATTCCCAACCAGAATAGCCAATTAGCTTGGAATTAGGGGCACTGAATTTCAGATATCTGGTGGGTAGCAATTTCAGGAAGAATACCTTAGTTATTGGTGTTGGTTTTGGTATCCTTCCTCAAATGGCTAACTCAGTTTTTAATAACTTGCGAAAAAGGCAATAGAGTGCATGCAGGCCAGATTTCTTGGGTGGTGGGGAGGCTGTCCTAAACTGTAAGCAGAAAAGTTCGGCCTCCATCTCCTTTACTTCATGAAAGTGGGGGAGTCCTAAGCAACTTCTCCCAGGATGTCTGCTTGTGGCGGGTTGAAATCGGGTGGAGAAGGTGTCCCTGCGAGTGTTTTGGCCACCTTCATACGGCTTTAAAGGTCAAAACTAGCACATTGAATTGCACTTAGAAGCCAGCAGGGAGACAGCGCAGGGCCTGCAGGAGGGATGTAATATGCTCGTGTGGGTGTGTATCCACCAACAACTGGGCTGCTGCATTCTGGACCAACTGAACCTTCCAAATGGTCTTCCAAAGGCTGGGATGAAGTAGTCTAGGCAAACAGTGACCGGGGCATGAATGGCTGCTGCAAGGGTCTTCTGAGAAGCCCCAAGAGATGGGGCTACAACTGCTAGTCAGCCAGAGCTTGATAAAGGCCCCTGGCCATGGCTTCCACTGCACATCTAGCAGTAGCCAGGCATTCAGGAGGCCTGCCAGGTCACGAACATACCCCTTCAGGGCCAATGCCACCTCACCCAGAGACAATATCAGAAGCATCCGGGTACCTTGATGAACAAGCAGCAGCTTCATCTTCTTTGTGCTCGCCTTCAGTCTGTTTTGTCCCAACCGTATCCTCTTGTTCAATTAAGTACTTTAGAGAAGGACTAAAAGAGAGATAAAAGACACATAAAAAGAATAAGTGTTTTTTTAACTGTTTTAATTGTATATTTGGAACTTGTAGGCGCCCAGAGTCTTTTGGAGTCGGCAGCCATAATAAATGTAATAAATAATAATAAAATAATAATAAAAGAGGATGCAATTAATAAAATACAAATAAGTGAACCAGGGGAAGGGAACTAGAATGTTATGGAGTTCTCCGATATCTCATTAATTATCAACTATAAAATGTTATATTACTTTAAAAAGCTAGGAAACACTGTTAAGCTTTAAGGAAAGAATGTGTATAAGGAACCACAGTGGATAAAGTATAAATCACTGATTGACATTATAAGTTACAATGAATTGAATCAATAGTCTATTCAGATTGGAATATGCATAGAAAATTTCAAATTTTGGGCGGTGGCGCAGCGGCTTAATGACGCTGAAAGTTGCCGGCCAGAAATGGTCGACGCTTCAG